AAATTTCATGCTTTCCCCACCTCAAACCCTTTTTTTTGGTTTGTAACTCGAATCTAAGTGTGCAAGTCGAGTCAATATTTTTCTATCAGAGTGGTTTGTAAGTCGAAATGTTTGTAACTCGAGTCGTTTGTAAGTCGAGGGTTGACTGTACTATGCCACAATTGGTCATTTTGAGAGCCTTAAAATATTTTACCCAGATACAAATCTATCTTTTTTATATGTTCCACCCCGGCATCTTCTAATATCCTTGGTTGTGAAACACATCTGTGATATGTATTGTAGCATTTTTTTAAGTTTTATTTATATAGTATGTATAAGGATCTCAGAGAATATTCAGAGCATTGACTGGTATCCTTTTTATGGAAAATATATACAATCAAGCAAATTGTTCCACATGGTTTTGTTGTTCAGTTTTGTTTTGTTTTTGCAATACTCTTAGTACATGTAGTTGTTTGTATTTTGATATTATCCTGAAATTTTGGCTCAAGAAACTAAATGAGGTTGGAAACATGGCCTAATACTGGATTGTTGGCCTTTGCTGCCAGATGGGCGGTATATAAATCAAATAAATAAATATTATTCCCTATTACAAGTCGGATCATTAAGTTTAGATTTGTATGTATTTATTATTTATTTATTTATTAGATTTATACCCCACATCATCTGGCAGCCAGGCCACTCTGGGCGGCTATCAGCAACAAGACAAAAAACACAATAAGAATAAAATAGTACAAACATTCAATAGACACAATAACTAGTAGGATAAATTAAAATTAATGACTATAAAGATGGTAGAAAGGATGATGAAAGGATGGCAAAAAGGATGATAAAAGGGAAGCAGAGATATCAGCAACTTAATGCTCAGGGAAAACCTGACAGATGAGCCAAGTTTTCAATGCTCGTTTAAACCCATCCAACGAGGGTGCGTACCTCCATGGGAAGATTGTTTCACAGGTGTGGGGCAACCGCTGAGAAGGCCCAGCTTCTTGTTCTTTCCCTCCGGGCCTCCTTCGGGGTCAAGGCACTCAACCGCCCTGCCTATGAAAAACGGGTATTATGGACAGATTTGGCTGGAAGCAGGCATTCTGCTAGATACCAAGGTCCTAAACCAGACCTCGGCAAAGTGCGGCCCGAGGGCCACATACAGCCCACGAGCCTCTAGTGCACAGGTATTAGCATATTCTAATACAGTGGACTCTCTACTTACGGAATTAATCCGTATTGGAATGGTGGCTGCAAGTCGAAAAGTCTGTAGGTCGAATCTCCATTGACCTACAATGCATTGAAAACCGATTAATCCCATAACCAGCAGTTTTAATTCTATTTTTGTTCCATTTTGGTTTTTTTCTGGTCTGTAAGTCGATTCTCTGGCTGCAAGTCGAATCTAAATTTTGCGGCCAGAGAAGTCTGTAACTCGAAAAGTCTGTAAGTCGAGCCGTCTGTAAGTCGAGGGTCCACTGTACCTTATGGTAATACCTGTGCACTAGAGGATTGTGGGAGGAACACTTAGCTCCTGATGGGGGTCCCACAGGGCACCCCAAAACACTGAGGAGCTCTCTTGGCCTCTGGCAGAACTGGGGCTGTGCAGCCCTGTACTGAGTGGGGGTGCAGCCAGGCGGTCACCATAACATGGGCAGTTAGGGGACAGAAGGGGGTAGGAGATGCAAAGACCATTCCAACTCATACCTTGTAGGGGAAATACAGTACCATGTTGTAAAAATGGTTTTCCCAGGGAGTGGCTTATCCATTGCACTTTGGGTGTGCTGTGATTTCCCCAAATGTGGGGAACTCAACTACATAATTTGTGTTTATGGGGCCATTATGTTTGTGATTTCTCTGTTCTTTTTTTTTTTTTTAACAATCTCTTTACCCTTTGTTTCCTGGCTGTTTTCACCATCCTCCATCATTTAAATTTGCAGCCATAGCCCCATTTGTGATGCTTTGCAAGATATTTTTCCCCCATTGAAACACATTAATTACATAAGATCTGCTTTTTTATCCCCAAAAAGTGGGGGAGAAAGTGTATGCTGCTGTTTTTCCTAGAAAGCCAGCAACATACACTTTCTCCCCCACTTTTTTGGGATAAAAAAGTAGGTCTTATGTAATTAATGTGTTCCAATTGGGAGGGAAACCGTCTTGCGAAACAGGGTAAAAAACCCCCAAAACCAAACAAACAAACAAAAAACACACACAAGGACCCAAACATCGTCCAGCGAAAATTGCCCATAGGAACAATAGTTTTGTGAAGCACAACATTGCTCCAAAAAAGTTATGGTCTAGCGAATTCCTCGTTTTGCGAGGCAATCATTTAGCGAGGCACCACTGTATCTAATATATTATCCCTCTAGTGGAAACATTACTCTGGGCGGTTTATAAATTAAAACTCAGAATCACACACAACTTCATATAATATACAATCAGTATGGTGGTTCACTAATCTAGACCTAAAATTAATACAAAAAGAAGAGGAAAGCATAAGAAAAGAAAATCAAATTAATATTAATAGTATCTGTGGATAAGTTATTGAAGGAAGCTTTGTATAATTCTGTCTTCACCGATTTTCTGAATATCAGTAGGGAAGAAGCCTCATGTACCTCAAGTGGAAGCTTATTCCAGAGATTGGGGCCCACCACCAAGAAGACCTGATTCTTTGTTGTCAGATTTTTGACCTCTCTTGATGTAGCCACTTTTAGCAACATGGATTGAGAGGAATGGGTAAAATGGGTAGCTGATTTCTGAGAGAGAGGTTCCAATAAGTATCAAGGTCTTAAACCATTCTTTATAGGTCATAACCAGCACACTGATTTGAACACCGAAACTGGCAGGAAGTCAGTGAAGGTTACTAGTCCCAGAAAGCAGTCTGACCACTGCATGCTGGACCTGCTGAAGTTTCCATACTGTTTTCAAGGGCAGCCCTATATAGAGAGTACAGTCGACCCTCGACTTACAGACGGCTCGACTTACAGACTTTTCGAGTTACAGACTTCTCTGGTTGCAAAATTTAGATTCGACTTGCAGCCGGAGAATCGACTTACAGACCAGAAAAAAACCAAAATGGAACAAAAATAGAATAAAAACCACTGGTTATGGGATTAATCGGTTTTCAATGCATTGTAGGTCAATGGAGATTCAACCTACAGACTTTTCGACTTGCAGCCGCCATTCCAATACGGATTAATTCCTTAAGTAGAGGGTCCACTGTATTATCAATGTGTCAACCACTGTTACTAGGCATTTCTTATCCAGGTAGGGGTGCAACTGGGCAAAACGGGTTGATAAAAGGCACTCCTGGTCACGACCAATATTTGAGCCTATATAGAGAGTGCTGGATCCAGGAGAACCCCCAAGTTGCAGACGTGATCCTTCAGAGGGAGTGTAGTGTTGGCTCTTGGGCTATATTTGGTCATCATAATGATGTGCTGTTTAGTATACTGTATTTAGTTTTGTAGATTTCATTTACAGTGGACCCTCGACTTACAGACTTTTCGAGTTACAGACTTCTCTGGCCGCAAAATTTAGATTCGACTTGCAGCCAGAGAATCGACTTACAGACCAGAAACAAACCAAAATGGAACAAAAATAGAATAAAAACTGCTGGTTATGGGATTAATCGGTTTTCAATGCATTGTAGTTCAATGGAGATTCGACCTACAGACTTTTCGACTTGCAGCCACCGTTCCAATACGGATTAATTCCGTAAGTAGAGGGTCCACTGTACTGTGTTGATCCATATAAATTCCAAAATGACTGAGCATGCAGGACAATACATAACTACATGGAGAGAGGCCAGTGTGTGACACTCATTGTACACAATGGGAAGGTATTAAACTTTTTAAATTACAGAAATAAAATTATCAGATATAAGAGGTGATTGATGGGTCCCTCTGTGTAGAATTTCTTTCATAATAATGATTTAAAAAAGCCAGTGAATTTGATCACATTTAAGAATTCAAGTTATGAGCTAAATGGAATGAAGTAAAATTGAAAGTACTAGTAGGTAGATGCAACATTTTAGAGAGCAAAGCCCAATAAAGGTTTTGTTTCTGGTTTTTAAAGATTTATTTGAGTGGTTAAGGTTTATAATTTTGTAACTGAAGTCTATAATATATTGTCTTTTTCTAGAAAGAAAGAGCTTTCCACAACCAAGAAAGATCGAGTGAATCATTGTTTGACAATATGCGAAAATATAGTTGCTCAGTCTTTAAGGTAAGCATTTGAAATTTGTTAATGCAAATACCATGGGGTATATAGTGTTTGTGAAAATCATTCTCTTTTATTTTGAGGGTTTTGTATACTTTTCAAGTGGGACAAGTGAGCTGAAGTCAGTTTATTGCAGGATAAACTCTGGAAAAGGTTGACACATGATTGCACCCCACTATATAACACCAATGCAATTATTAAATTTGCGGATGATACGACAGTGGTGGGGCTCATAAATAAGAACAATGAGTCTGCTTATAGAAAGGAAGTACAAAGATTGATACTATGGTGTAAAGAAAATCATCTCACACTTAACATCAAAAAAACTAAAGAACTCATAATTGATTTTAGGAGGAAGAGAAATGTACATTTACCACTGTACATAAACGGTGAGGAAGTGGAGAGAGTTGGTAGTTTTAAATTTCTGGGTACTTACATCTCAGAGGACCTCTCATGGACTATAAATGCCAACATGCTAATAAAGAAGGCACAGAAGAGGCTGTATTTCCTGAGAATGCTCGGCAAGTTAAATTTATCTCAGCATTTACTTCTGTCATACTATCGTAGCACCATTGAGAGTGTCCTAACCTATGGCATTCTGGCATGGTTTGGGAGTAGCTCTGTAGCGGACAAAAAAGCTCTACAGAGAACCATTAAAATTGCCCAGAATATCATCGAGCTCCAGCTACCAACCCTGGATGACATCTTCACATCCCGCTGTCTGAGGAAGTCACACAGCATCCTGAGAGACTCTTCCCATCCTGCTTATAACTTTTTTGAACTGTTACCGTCTGGCAGAAGATATAGAACAATTAAGACTCGGACCACACGTTTTCTAAATAGTTTTTATCCTAGAGCTATAATTGCAATTAATAATGAGCTTAAAGACCACCAGTAGTGAATAATTAGTTGGACTGTGTAACTCGGCCTGCGGTGTAGATGTTTGTATTTTTAGTGGGGGACTTTTAGTGGGTAGGGAGTGTTTGGGAATTTTATGTGTGTGCATGTGTCTGGTCTCTGGGTGTCTGTGAATTTCGTTGTATTGTTGTTGTTGTTGTTGTTGTTGTTATTGTTATTGTTATTATATTTCATTTTGCTTGTCAAAATATAAATTAATTTTGATCACAATAGAGAAGAAAATAACTGAGAAGACATATAAAACTGAGAAGAACAAAGAAAGCACATACATTGGGGGTGCTACTATAACTGTGTGCTGCTTCTTGACGGATTTATCTTGGATTCCAAAAGCATTTGGAAACCCACAGTTTTCCCATTCTTGATTCAAAGATAGATCTGTGCATGTTATTTTCTTGCTGTCATCAGCCCAAGCCACCATAGCCAGTAATCAGTTATAATGTAAACTGTGTTACAGCAATACTTGGAGGCCTTAGATCTTTCACTTTTGACCTGAAAACTATGCTTTGCAATAAGCAGATACTGAGAGTCTGGGGCCAGTGCCACTTCATTCTCACTCCCCCTTCCCCAGATTTTTGGGGGTGCACTCATCTCCTTCAAAAATATAAGGGACCACAAGGTTATTCCAAGTTTGAAGAAAAAGGTGTATTTAAAACAAGTGAGACAACCCTAAAATAGCATTTGAATAGCTTTTGGCTGCTTCTGGAGTATGAGTTATCATTTTTATGCTAGGTTTTTTTTTCTTGTTCATGTGTGTGCATGTTAATGCGTATCAGTCATGTTGGGGACAGTAGTGGTTGTACAATTCCCACAATCAGGCTTAAAAGATATTATAAGCAGCCTTCAAAAACTCTACTTGTACCTAGACTATTGTGAGCAATTGATTGCTTTCTGCAAAGATAATTAGCAGAGCTCAATTTGCCTTGGGGTTGGGAGGAGCTCAAATATACCCTCATTTATGGGGGAATTTGGAGGTTTCTGGTGCTTACCATTATTGAAAGATTTTCAAACAATCAGTTCTAGTTGTTTTAATGTGAGGATCAGAAATGTTTTGAAAAAAATTTGCTGCAAAAATAAGCAGTAGATTTACCTTCCAGTTCCTAAAGGAAAGCAGGAACTAGATGATGGTGGCATACCACCATGCATGTCTTGCTTCTCAAATCTAATCCTTCGCTGAAGTTGGGCAGTGAACAGCAATTATGCTCCAAGGTACCTCTTTACCTCAGAAAACCAAATGAATTCTAGCCTCTACCTTTAATTTTGCAAGGGAACTATAGCTTTGGCCTATGATAATGTCCTGAGGTTCATTTACTGCATGGAGAAACCAAGGTCCATTCTGGGTAGTGAATAGCAGCAGTGTTCCTAAATGTATCTCTGCTGAAAAATGGGCCATCCTTCTGGAGTCAGAAATACTAAATAGGATTCATTTGGGCAAAGAAGAAACTGTCTTGGCTAGTTCCAAAATTAATCCTACTCTTTTCGAACCTAGAAATAGTAGGCAGCTCAAATTGAGTTGGTCTTCTGTCTGACACAGTTGAAGGGTCTCTTATCATCCACATTTGAAAAAGGTAAAGGTTCCCCTTGACATTTAGTCCAGTCGTGTCCGACTCTAGGGGGCGGTGCTCATCCCCTTTTCCAAGCCGTAGAGTCAGCGTTTGTTCGGAGACAGTTTCCGTGGTCATGTGGCCAGCGTGACTAGACACTGAATGCCGTCACCTTCCCACTGTGGTGATACCTATTTATCTACTTGCATTTACATGCTTTCGAACTGTTAGGTTGGCAGGAGCTGGGACAAGTGACGGGAGCTTACTCCATCACGTGGATTCGATCTTGCGACTGCTGGTCTTCTGACCTTGCAGCACAGAGGCTTCTGCGATTTAACCCGCAGCGCCACCATGTCCCTTTATTGATTAGCTATACTCTAATTTGAATTAGAGTATAGCTAATCAATAAAATTCTGACCTGTGTGTTGCACTTAATGTTTAATTATCCTCATTCACTTTGATAATTCCAAAAATATTTTTTTTAGTACTCTTTACTCATGTATGCTACGGATTTGTTTTAAAATAATGAGAAATGTATTACATTTAAATTGTTTAAATTTATAATATTACTTTCAGTTTTAGAAGTTGGGAGCATGAAACATCAGAATTGCTAGCATTTAACTCATTTTATTTCATGTTAACTGTTTTTATATAAGAAATTCTCCAGAATTTCAGAAGCTGCTGGGCATTGCCATGGAACTTTTCCTTCTTTGTAGTGATGATGTGGAGTCAGATGTTAGGATGGTTGCAGATGAATGTCTTAATAAAGTGATAAAGGTAAGTTGCACTTAGGTTTTTTAATTACCTATTTTAATGAACTAATAATTTCATTAGTTAATAACATGTTATTATGTGGTAGGATAGTTTAGGAAACTAAAATCAAAATATTCTATTAATTGTACATTTTTATTTACAATAGTTTTGCAGTCTGAATTGCTGTATAAACAAGAATAACACTGAGGATTAGCCATCACTTGATTGAGATGTTCAGAAAACGGTTGATCAGAGGGAAGCAACTATGTGGTACCTTTCAGCTGATGAAGAGAGCAGTCTCTAGCACTGGAAGCTGTCCAAAACTAGGATTCCATGTCTACAAGTAGAGACTGCTTTCCTCTTCAGATATAGGTCTCCATATCTGAGAGATAGAATGTGGGGAACAGGGCTATCTTGCTCCCTCTGCTCATATCAAGATTGGTAGCATTTAATGTGAGAAATGGTGGAATCTGTGAGACACTTTTTTAGGTTCAATGAACAGGTAACCATCATAGTTGTCTTCCCATGCATAGTAAGTATATTAATAGTAGATTAATTTAACTATGTGAAAAGCACACATGTCATTTTAAAAGGAAATTGTTCTTTGAAGTATTCAGATTATTTTTATTATTGTCATTATTCTGTTGGTTATTATGCATTGTGGTTTTGTTGCCAGAAAAAATATAGGGCAATGATTCTCTACTAGTCAGTGGCAACATTGTTCTTTGAAAAATGCTCTTAAAAAGAAGCAAAAGGCTATACAAGGCAGTACTTTGCCATTTAGGATTGATAAGAGGAATGGGAATTCATAGACCCTCTCTCTTAACCTGAAACTTGAAAAATGCCTTTTGAAATGCCCTTAAAAGGTAATTTTGGGAAGTAGTGAGAAAACATTACTCATTATATAAGTATTATGTTACATTTTGTGAGAAGAGGGGCATGGAGGAGACCCTCCTTTTTGGTGTGCTGTCCCCTAAAACAGGCAAAAATATTGAAGTAAAAGGGGAGGTTGACATTAGTAGAAGGCATGCAAGGGATTGCTAAACTGACTTTGAAGAAAGATGAAAATCTGCGAACTGAAGAACCATTAGGAGGAGGAGTTTTGGCAAGAGAAGGGGCAGATAAATGGGAGAGAGAGGGAACTGAGGGGGGTTGTTGGAGGAGGAAGGAGAAGAAAAGAGAGTGTATAAAGAAAAAGGCAAAGGGTTAGTAAGAATGGACTCCCCTGAAGAAGACTGGGTCACCATAGTCAAAGAGGATCCTTGGAGCAGAAAATGGGTCCAACTTAAAGTGCCCAGAGAGGTAGTCAAACAAGAATGGTGGAGCAAACTGGTGCATAAGCCCCCATACTGGGGTGAGAAAACTGGCTGAGGGCGAGAAAAAAACAACAGGAATGAGAGGAAGAGAAGGCCACAACCAAGAGAGCCAAAGTTGTCCCACTTACCTTGAGACCAATCCTGGATCAACAGCCTTCCACCTGCCACTACACAGACCCCCTAGCAGTTGGGCCAGTTAATGGGAACCCTCTGCTCCCCTTGCTTCTCACCAGGACTATTTTTAGTTGTAATGTTAACCCTGTTGAAGCTATTAAGGCAGAACGTGAAACCCTGGGAGAAGCAATCCCTGTGGACATGGAGGTGAAAACTGAATCAATGCCTTTAAAGTTGTTGTTAATCAAAGAAGTTGATGCTAAAGATGAAGTCAGTCCTGGTGCTTCCTTGCTAGAGGGTGAAGTTGGGGATGAAACAATTGTGGAGAACCCCCCACTTTGGAAATGTGAATATATTACATCCCTCACTGTAAAAATAACTAGCCGCCTAGAGTGGTCTTAACCAACCAGATAGGCGGGATATAAATAAAATAAATAAATAAATAAATAACTTTTTCTAATGCATTACTTCCAAGCTCTGGAAACAGGAGATGAAAAAGGCTGACCATGTTGGTAGTCATGAAGCCTGCATGTCAGTCTTAAAATGTAATGTGGGAGTGCAGTCTTTCTTTAACTGTGCAACATGTAGCACTAGTTCCTTTATTTCTCAATGTGTAATGCTGCTAATACAATGAATTTGAGGTATCACATTTTCTATCAGCAAATCAGTACAGCTGTAAACTGGAATACACAGAAGTGCTTTGATTCCCACAACAAAATTGTAGTGACAACGTCGTGCTACTTTGTATGGCTGATACAATACATAGTCTTTGAAGGTCAATTGGAAAGATTCCCGTACTTGCTGCTACCATTTTTAGCTGCATTTCTGGTTGTTATTGTTTTTAATTATGGGGCAGCAATGTCAGTCTCTTCGTTATTCCATTTTATTTTATTTTTAAATCTGCAGTAGAACACTCAGAAAGATGGAAAGTTTGTGACATACCATGAGAGGTATTAATGGGTATCATGTTGGGAATATTCAGTTTTAGAGGTCTGGAGAATGGTCTGCTGAAGCTGTGACAGCCAGCTTTGAACACCTGCTGGTGTTATAAGAGGAGAAGTTGCTCTTCAGGTATATAGTTGCCATTGTTATCTCTTGCCAAGGAAGAGCATGGAAGTGCCAATCTGGCATAGATCTGAGATGTATCTCTTTCATCATTCTGTTCACGCAGTGTCCATCTGCTTATCTCTGGAAAGCCTGCTAGCAAGATATGAATTGAATGTCCGTATGTAGGTCAGCAAAGCCAGACTTTGTTTTGAGCAGTTATGCTGTTACAGTTACTGAGCATTTATCTTTGTGTTCTGAAATGAAAACATAACTGAAATGAAAATATCAACCTCAATGCAAACTTCACCTATTGCTCCTAATAGGATTTTGACTGTACATTATTTTGCTTAAAACAAGAGCTAACCTGGGTGTAAAGAAGCAGTGGAAGGTCAAATAAACTCTTTAACTTCTGTTGACTAGCATGCGTTGGAGAATATTTATTTTTATTTATTTATTTATTCTATTTGTACCCCGCCTATCTGGTCAAAACGACTACTCTAGGCAGCTATTCATGAAAATAATATAAGATTTTTGGATGGAATGGTTAGTAGTTTGTACAGCCATACAATTTTAGCCAGAAAGCCCCATGTTCTTCACAAAGACTGTGATTGTTCTCAAGATGAAATCTTCAAAACCAATATGGTGTGTGTTGAAGTTTTATAAAATGCAGGACTATCTGATTTCCTTTAATCTAAGAATAACCAGATGAGCACCTTGGGGAGCAGCTTGAGCCCTGAAATTTATTTATTGAAAACACTTTTACCCTGCCTTCCTCCTTGAAAAGGACCCAAGGTGGCTTACAGACAACGAAAGACAGTATTTAAACTTGAAAACAATGAATATGCGTCGGTGGTTAACATCATTCAAACACAATATTTAAAATGATAAACAATGTATAAGGGGGCATCTTACAACATTAACAGGAAATATTAAGGCAGAGATCAATAATTATACAAAGAAATGTCACTCCGAGAAATGCAAAACACAAAAATGGAAAACACAAGTAGTACTAGAATCCAGTGAAAGCAATAATTTTTAAAAATCTATCTAAAAACCACATACTGAGGGAAGGCTTGCCTGAAGAAAAAGGTCTTTGCCTGCTTGCGGAAGGATAGCAAAGATGGGGCCAATTTGGCATCCTGTGGGAGGGAGCTCCGAAGTCTGGGTGCAGCAACAGAGAAGGATCTCTGCTGTGTCCCCATCAGACACACCTATGAAGGTGGCGGGACTGGGAAAAAGACCTCTTCTGATGATCTTAACACCTGGGCTGGCTCATAATGGGAGATATGATCTTTTAGATAATTTGGACCTAGGCCATTTAGGACTTTATAGGTTTAAACCAGCACTTTAAATTGTGCCCGGTCATTGGCAGCCAGTAGAGCTGCTGTAATAGGGAGGTTATGTGGTCCCTGTTACCAGCCCCAGTCAGCAATCTGGATGCTGCATTTTGGACCTGTTGAAGTTTCCTCACACTTTACATTGGCAGCCGCACATAGAGCACATTATAGTAATCCAGCCGGATCACTCACCGTTACTTTAAGCTTATCCAATATTCCTTGGTACCACTGGGACATACTGAAACATTGGAGTGTCTCTATTCACAGTTTTAGTCAGTTAACTATGTTATCCTGCACAATACTATATTCACTTTTTGCCCCTCCCCAAAAAATGTGTTAGTGTTCCATAGCTACTGAGCCTGCCTAGTTTTTTCCTGCGAAGACTTTTTGTACTAAGGAATATCTTAGTATGTAATTGATCTTGCTGCTATATCCTGCTTCAAGTTGTTGATGGCATTTTAGCTTTGTGAGTTGAATTATTCAAACCTGAATGTGAGAAACAGAGAGATTAATCTTCCTCTGCAAGACAGCTTGCCTATCTTTCTACACAGCTATTTGTGCGGTAGGACATAATTTCTATCTAAGCAGGCCACAAAACCTTGCAGGCTTGTTCAGTTCCACACCGGAGCTGACTTATTCTATAATTTAGTCTAACAGTTGATTATGTTGAAATGGGAAAATAATTTAGCCACTGGTATAAGAAATACAGAGGTTTTGGAGTTCCCTCTATAGATCTATCAGATGGTTGGCTTTATAGTTAATAAACTAAATACTACAATATCAAAGAGCTCCATGAGCTGCTAACCATCAAGAATTTTTGGGTATAGTTTGCAGATGCTTAAATATGCCATTTTCTTTTATCTTAGGCTTTGATGGATTCTAATCTTCCTAGGTTACAATTAGAACTCTACAAAGAGATTAAAAAGGTGAGCCATTTTTTCCTTTGGTCTTGAATTTCTTTTGATCTGTACTTTGCTTTTTAGTTATGTAAGTTATGTAATAAGCAATGGTACTTCAGGGATGCTATTTATAGTTTAAACACTATAGATTCATTATCTTGAATTGTGTTAATGTTTAAAATTTCAATAAATAATAAAATATTTATTTATTTGATTTATATCCCACCCATCTGGTCTGGTCGACCACTCTGGGCGGCTTTCAATAAGGTGTATACGATAAAACATAAGGATTTTACAAACAGTCCATAACACATACAGTAATAAAACAAATAATAAATGAAAGAAAAAATAAAGAAAGAATTAAATATTGACAGGAGGGAAGGCCTGAACATACAACCATGTTTTTAGTTGACTCTTTAAAGTGCCCAGCGTGGGGGCCGCACGAATCACCGGAGGAAGGTTATTCCAGAGGTTATTCCTTTCCTTCCGGGCCTCCCTCAGCGTCAGGCTCCTCAGCCTCACCTCCTGGCTCATGCAGGTGATCCGAGTAGATCTAGGTGGGAGCAGGCGTTCTGCCAAGTATCGGGGTCCTAAACCATTTAGGGCCTTATGCGTAAGCATTAACACTTTTAAGTCAATGCGGAAACGGATGGGCAGCCAGTGCAGCATGGCCAGAGTAGGAGAGATATGTTGGTATTTTCTCACTCCAGTAAGGAGTCTGGCTGCCGCATTCTGCACCACGTGAAGTTTCTGCATCAGCTTCAAAGGGAGCCCCACGTAGTGCGCGTTACAGTAGTCTAATTAGAGATTACGAGTGCATGTACTAAGGTAGTGAGCGCCTCCGTGTCTAGGTAAGGTCGCATCCGGGCAATCTGCCAAAGGTGGAAAAAGGCGGTGTGGACTACTGACGCCACCTGCGTTTCCATGGTGAGCGTCGGGTCCAGGTGTACCCCCAGGCTGTGGACCCCACTCTTCGTGGCCAGGGCCACCCCCCAAACATGAGGGATTTTCCCAAGCCACCATCCACAGGGCCACCCACCCTCAGAACCTCCGTCTTGTCTGGGTTAAGCCTCAGTCCGTTCTCCTGCATCCATTGCAGTACGGCCCCCAGGCAGCGCTGGAGGGACAGGACAGTATCACCTGCAGTTGGTGAAAAGGAAATGTAGAGCTGGGTATCAGCAGCATAGAGCTGGGTGCCAGGCCCACCCAGCGGCCTCATATAGATGTTAAACAACATTGGGGAAATAGT